GAAGTCCAGGCTGGGTTTAGAAGAGGCATGGTACTAGGAATATAATAGCTAATGTTAGATGGTACTACAGATATTATAGCTAATGTTAGATGGTACTAGGGATATTATAGCTAATGTTAGATGGATCTTGGCTAAAAGCAGAAAGTACCAGAGGAATGTCTACCTGTGTTTCAATGACTACGCAAAAGCACTTGACTGTGTGGTAAGAACAGAAATGCATGAAAACGTGATCCAGAATATTGAACTTGAAATGTCAGAAGATCCCACAAACTATTGTTGTTATGTTTGCGACTCATAGCAACCCTTTGTACAATAGCCCAAAACTCTTCTCTGTCCTGTGCCAATCTCACTGTTTCTGACACACCCACCCCAATTACCCCAGTCACTGAATCAATCAATCCACCTCACAAAGGGTCTTCCTCTCCTGCACCTGCCCTCCACCTCCAAGAATGGTGTCCCTCTCCAAGGACTGGTCCCTCCTTGCAACATGTCCAAAGTATGTCAGACAAAGCTCAGAATACTTGCCTCCAAGGAACAGTCAAGTTTAACCCTCTCCAGGATGAACCTATTTGTTTTCTTAGCAGTCCATGGTATATTCAACACCCTTCTGCACCACAGCTCAAAGGCATAAATTTTCCTTCTATCCTCCCTAGTCATTGTCCAGCTCTCTGATGCATAGCAAGTGATCACAAAGACTATGGTCTGTATCAGGCACACCTTAGTCTCTAGAGTGACATCATTGCTATTCAGTACTCTGGAGAGGTCCTTAACCGCAGACTTTCCCATAACAATCTATCTTTTAATTTCCTGGCTGCTGGTGCCAAGAGTATTGACAGTGGAGCCAAGCACACTAAAGCTGTCAACAATCTCAATCTCATCACCATCTATCATGATGCTGCCAAATGCCCCAGTGGTGAGAATCTTTGTCTTCTTGATATTGAACTTCAATCTATATTGAAGGCTGCAGTCCTTCACCCTCTGGTCATCCTCAGTTTCAGCAAGCTGGGTTGTGTCATCTGTATAACGCAGATTCTTGATGAGTCTTCCTCCAATCCTGATGTCACATTCCGCCTCATAGAGCCCAGCCTCCTGGATAACCTGTTCTGCATAGAGGGTGAAAGGAGATGGAGATAGGACACATCCCTGATGTACACCCTTCTCAACCTTGAACCATGCAGTGTTTCCTTCTCTGTTATGACAACTGCCTCCTGGTCCAAGTATAGGTTTGGCATTAGCATGATCACCGTGTTCTGGGATTCCCATTCTTCTCAGAGTCAGCCACAGTTTGTTATGATCCGCACAGTCAAACACCTTTGCATAATCAATGAAACACACAGATAGACATTCCTCTGGTATTTTCTGCTTTTAGCTAAGATCCATCTAACATCAGCTACAATATCTCAATTACTACGGCCCCTTCTAAACCCAGCCTGGACTTCCGGAAGTTCTCTGTTGATGTAGGTCAACTGAGGTGGAGCTTTCAAGTATGGAAATACAAATAATGAGGAACAGTTGTAAGCAAACACTAGTGACTGGAACATGGAATACGAGAACCATGAGTATAGAAAATTAGATCTTGTTAAGGAAAAAACGGAACACATAAGTAGTGACATACTAGGTACTGGTGAGATGAGATGGATAGGCATGGAGCATTTTGAGTCAGATGATCATATATTACCCCGGATATGGAAAGGTGAGAAAAAATGGGGTTGCTTTCATAGTTAAAAAAGTCATTTCTAAATCCATATTGAAATACAATATTGTGAGTGACAGGATAATAGCCATACTCATATAAGCAAGTCCACTGTATACTACTATCATTCAGATATATACACCAAAAACCAGAACCAAAGAAGAGGAAATAGAAGATTTCTACCAACTTTTACAATCAGAGACCAATCAAACATGCAACTAAAATGCATTAACAATAATGGGTGACTGGAATGCAAAAGTTGGAACAGAGAAGAACAGTCAGTAGCTGGAAAACACAGACTCGATGACAAAAATGAAGCTGGAGATAGAATGATTGAATTTTGCACAATCAATGACTTATTCATTGCAAATACATTTTATAAGAAACATAAACACAGGTTATACACA